AGGAGATTGGATTTATACCCCACTCTTCACTTGGAGTCTCAGAGCGGCTTACAAACTCCTTTCCCTTCCCCTCCCCACAACAGACACCCTGTGAGGTGGGTGGGGCTGAGAGAACTCTGACACAAACTGCTCTTTTTCAAGGACAGCTGTGCCAGAGCTTGTGACTGACCCAAGGTCACATCAGGAGGTGCAAGTGGAGGAGTGGGGAATCAAACCCGGTTCTCCCAGATTAGAGTCTACACACTTAACCACTGCACCAAACTGGTTCATCCTTTATTGGTTCCCTCCTCCTCCTCCTCCACTAATTCCAACCCCAAACCGAGTTAGGCTTGCAGCAGGGTGGGAATCCAAACATGCTTTCTTCCTCCACCATCAGCAATTGCATTTTCAAAATAAAATCCCTAGAGCGATAACAAGGAGCCCTCTGGGATGTACTCTAATAGTGTATCAAACTGCCACCTATAAACACAATCTAGGTAATAAGAGCCCTGGAGGAAGAGCTATGCAATGCTCTCCCACCTACAGAGTAACCAAAGCCCAAAATCTTATAGGAAATAAGATTAACAGGTGGTTTTTACAGGTTTCAGAAAGTGCTTAGCTTTAGCACTTGTATTTGAAACAGCCAGTTGCCAAATTTTGTCACAACCTAATCAAGAAATGGAACCTAAGGCTTCTGCAACAGGGAGGGTGTATGCAGACAACGACTGGCTAGAATTTGGGACACATTTGGAGGATGGGGACAAAGCTGGACTGCTCTGAAGGAAACAACGATTCCCAGGGTAGAGAACAAGTTTAGCAATAATTCCAACCACGTCCCCAAATATACTTCCATACATTCTCCTGTATACATACATGAATAGCTGCCATTCACTCCTACGGAGAAATTTATAACAATTCACTTGGATCATTGTGTGTGTGAAATGTCATCAAGTTGCTTCTGAGGTTTGGCGGCTCTATGAATTAATCACCTCCCAATGTCCTACTGTTAACAGCCTTGCTCAGGTCTTGCAAACTGAGGGCTGTGGATTCCTTGATTGAGTCAATCCTTCTCAAGTTTGGTCTTCCTCTTTTCCTGCTGCCCTCAACTTTTCCTAGCATGATTGTCTTTTCATACTGTGACCAAAGTACAATAGCCTCAGTTTGGTCATTTGAGCTTCTAGGGTGAGGTCAGGCTTGATTTGGTATAGGAACCACTGGTTTCTCTTTTTGGCAGTCTACGGTATCTGTGAAACTTTCCTCCAACACCACATTTCAAATGAATCAACTTTCTTCCTGTCATTATTGCACCCTAACAGTGTCCCAAATTGCTATCTCTAAGCACGATCTAGGTAATAAGAGCTGTGGAGGAAAAGACTATGCAGACAAGGGCTGCCCCTTCCCGCATTATGAGGAAGGCAAAATCTTCTCCGGGATGACCCCCGTTACAACGAAGGCCCTGTGTATGAACATGCAAATATACAATATACAAGGCCTTACCTTCATACATCTCTTGTTGATGACCATACATGTATCACACGGATATCTGTATTTCACATTGGTCTCTCATTTTACAGTATGGTTGATCTGTTGCTGGCAAGGCAATAGTCTGACATATATGCACTTGAAGGAACCATTAGTCGAGTCAGCAAACTCATCCCCTCAACTATCAGTTTGCCCCCCTTTCCCTTCTCAACAATAGGCTGGGTCTTATGAAATGCAAATGGAGTTAAGTTCATGGAATGGACCTCTCCCCCCTCCGTTTCTGCAGCCCCTCCACCCGTAAAGTTATTCCTGAGGGTTAGGAGTCTAATGGAAACAGAGTGAGGCACTGCTCAGAAGACAGCAGCAAGATCAAAAATTGCCTCACATGCTCCTGTACCAACTTTTTACTTCTTTCCAACTGTCA